CCGTGTGGCCAATACAGGTGTCCTTCCTGGCATACTTAATTGAAGGAGAACCGCCAACGAAGACATTAAAGATAGGACCCAATACAGCGAATCCACAACCGAACATTTATGACATTAACAAATTATTGTTTGCTGACATGTATATAGCATAAATGCTAAGAGATGTATGATTTCTAGCATTCCAACGCACCTTCACACCACGGCAAAAATCTTAGCTTTCTATAAAGGTATGATTTTCTCACGCAATTGGTAAAAAGTATGTACAGATAAAGATTTAGAACTCGTACCTAAAACCCGATACATAAACTCGGGATAAATGAGCCATCACATCAAAAAAGATACACGATAAAAAAGAACAAACATAAGTGGATCGAAGTACAAAGAATCTGGTGCTTCGATACTAACAACTGCACAAGCAGCAAGTTCTGAAGCCAACCAACTGAATGCGGCTATGGTACAAGCAGCAATCTCCAAGACAAAATATGAGTTATAAGCGAATCAGGCTAATCATAGCATAGTAGTAATTTTTTCCGCGTAAATAACTTTGCTCCATGTCTCTCCAATACTTTTTACTCATTGAGAATTTTCAAGAATGTTTTAGTTTGTGCAAACCACGGAATAAACTATTCGAAGTGTCAACAGCATCAAGATTGACTGACATAGAGTACAGGAACAAGCCCAGCCATTTTCCCATCCCTCCCGGGGCGTTTCTTCTTAACCTGCAACAGGCAACATATTAGTGAAACATATGCAGATAGAGCCCTAATACCCTAATAGTTTCCCCTTCTAAAGCAATTAAAGAATAATTTCTCAGACAAGACGCTTATGTTTACAAGGTGAATATTTGGGCTAGAACGTCCAAACTCAATTATACTCGGAAAACTCAAATGTTGAGATTATGAGAGCTGATAGCTTGCTTATTCCACTTTACAGCATGATCCTGCATAAATTTGTATAATTGCCAGACTAAATTGCATCCAGAAACCATGCTTCTGAAAGCTGTTTGTTTTCGAGACTTAGTAATCATAAAAAATCACTAATATATTCAATTTAATCAACAAAATTATCAGTCTAGGGTTCTAAAGGTTTAACAATATATGGTAAGAGGCAGAATAGAATCTCACACAACAAAGGCAAAATGATAATAATGGAACATCAGAAAACCCCTTTGGTAATGATACCACAATATCATATCTTTGGAGGATTCAACTAGTGTCATTCTTGTTTAGGTATATCCATAAACCAAATAATAGCTTCTTGATCTTTTGTTAAGACCATCTTAATTGTACTTATAAAAGGAACTAGTTGACAAACAAAGGGACAAAAAGTCAATTTCGGAAAAAATATTGTCAACCTCTTTCAGATATGAATCCATCTGATTTGAAATTCAAAATATAAATTTTTTTAGGGACTAAAGTTCACCTCAAACCTAGTTTCTCAGACTACTCAATGATTTCAACAGCAGAAGAAAATCCTAACAACTATCTTTCCTTATTTCCGAGTCAATAAAATGAAATCTAGACATTATGACTGCAAAAATCAAACATCATTTCCTTCAGCAAGCAAAAGTCAAGATATATGAGGATTGCAAGTGTGGAGCTTTGGAGGATTATTAAAATTAACCACAGTGGGAAAAAACACACCCTGTTCCATTAATGAGGAAGTTAGAAAATTTTCCAGTGTGTGCTATACTTACATAGAACCATCCATCCACTTCATATTCAATTTCAACTTCTTCTCCAGCTGTGAGATTTAGCTGCAAGCAACAAAGAGTCAATAAAATTCATATACAGAGAGGAGGGAAAACAGACTTCCAGATTTGGTTCCTTAATAAAC